TGGCTCTTTAGGTTAAAGGAAGTCCATCGGGACAAGAAGTGCTTTTGGCCCTTTGTTGGCTCCATATAACTTTAAAAGGTGCAAACCACGGAGTTTCTTCCCATTTTCACCTATTTGGACTGACTTGACATCCGATGAAAGCACTGAGAGCCGAGGTTACAAACTGGCTCCTGGATCTCTGCGTGTAGAGACCAAAGATGCAAAACTGGATCGATCAGCCCGTTGTTCATTACTGTCCATCTAAACAGGGGGCTGAAAGTGGGGGCTCCGCCTGCCCTCTGCTGCTCCGGGGCCAGGGCTGGGGAGGGAGAGACCAGGGATGGCCCTGGGAGGCGCCTCCAGCTCCAGGCACCATCTTGTGTGTGGCTGCAGTCCCGGCTGCCATCTTGTGCAGTCTCTTGTGCCTCCAGGGGTGGGCGCCGGTCTTTTTCTCTCCCACACTGGGATTTGGAAACGGTTCTTTTTTCCTGTTTCTTCCTTGTACATGCCCAAGTCGTTGTCTTGCTCATTTTACTCTAAGAATGGAAATAAGAGGGCTCAGATAAGCATCCATCCAAATGTTCTCTGACTACTGCAGCTTCAGCCAGCAGTCACCTGCCTCTGCTTTGCTCCTCCAGCATTCTCTCTACCACAGCAACACACATCATTCAGCTTTCAAAGCTTTCCACAGGATGTCGTCCTCTGCCATTTCCTGTTCATTAGGATCTGGTTCCTGCCTCCAAACACCCCACGAGGCTGGCTTCTCTATGCGAGCTCCTAGGCACACACTTCTGTGCTTTCTTTTCATTTGGAGAGGACCGGCCGAACATTACAAGATAAGGATAATTCTCCACGTGTGATTAGTACAGGTTTATGTATTTTCTGTAGCCTTTTACAACCACAGTTTGGAAGTGCATTTTACAAAACTGTACGCGCTACAGAGCGTTTCAAAGACAGCTCTTTCAAATTTTCCTTTTCTTTCCTAAATAAAGGCAGATACCTGGTTTACAAAATCACATTTCCTAAGCTGAGTCCAAACTACAGACCTTCTGCTGGTGTCTGTCCATGCCCAGATCAAATCCAGGCTTTCTCTGCATGAGCGTGCCACTGGGAGCTATCATTTCACAGCTGTTCCGTGTCTTTTGTGGAAGGAGTGGGTGATATCAGTCCAGTTCCTAGTCAAGGCTTCCGTATCTCAGAATCTCCTGCCTTAATTAGCACTAACTGGCATCCTTCTTGGAAGCATCAGGAGAAAGGCCAAGCATGAAGAATGAAGTAGTCTCTCTCTCCTGGAGGTGAACCCCCCAGGACACACACAAGGCACCAGGCTTAATGGTATGAGGGCTGAATATGAAGTTTATTCTTATTAGATTAACTAAAGGCTATTCTCATCCTTAAAATACACCAAAAAAATAGCACAAGTGTGTAGTGGCCAGAAAACAACAGGAAAAGGGAAATGGGAGCAGAGTGGGAGCAGGCTGTGTGCTCAGGAGCTGATCTGCCCTGTCAGGCACCAGCCTAGAACTGGGCCTTGCCCGCAGCCCAGGTGAAATGGCCCCGGGCAGGTGGAAATTCAGAGCTCAAAACCAGGTGATGCCAGCTGAGGAGAATGGGTGGGAGCAAATTTGGGTCACAGGGGGAGCAAAATGCTGTTACATTTTCTTGGAACGGGTGTGGGAAGACGGGCACATGGCACCACCCTTTGCACACCCCGGGAAAGGGGGACACTGTGGAGATGTGGGGACAGAGCCACTGCATGGACTTGGAGTGGTTTTGGGGGGGTTGGCAACCAAAGTCCTGCTCCTGAGTGGGGTGCAGGGATACGGAGGTCATCAGAGATGCAGGGCACAATGAGGGACATGGGGGACAGGAGGCCATAATGGGCTGGGCTAGATCTGCACAAGAGTGACTGGCAGTGAAGGCATTTCCTTGCTAGCTGCAGTCACTGTACTTCCCACTTTACATCTGCAAGAACAATCGCCCTACAGGCTTGGCCCAACATCACTGTGATGATCAGTCAGCCTCCACCCTCTCTGGCTGGAACCTCGGCCGGGGGCAGCAGTCAGCAGTGTTTATGCAGGTTTGTCCGCTTTTTCTGCTGTGAATCCAGGAAGCGATTTGCTTTTTCAGGGCAAGAGCAGAAGCTCTGGCCCAAGCAGACTGATCGGTGAATATCCATCTGTAAGCTTTAATCTCACCGCACACACAAGTATCCACAGCTACGGTTAAAGGAAGCAGACAGATACGATATTCACGGGCGACAATGGGAGCCCTTTCTTCCCCATCACGCATGCAGTTTGCACTTTTCTTTCGCTGGAAAGGCAAGCTGTTGCAATGGCATAGTTATCCCAAAGTCCATACAACAGTGCACCAAAGCATTAGACCCTTCATTCTTCGGTACCTTCTTACTGATGCTGGCTAATTAGGTTCTACTGAATTCCAACCAGGGATCACCCCCATAATATCAGGGGGCTGTTCTTCCTTTGAGTAATAATGGCTCAGCTGTCTCTTGAGGACAATATTGCTGACTGAAGGCCAGTCTCTCCCATATCCCTTGTAGAAGGAGTTTACCTTCGATCCCCAAATTTTGCATGCATGCAAAAAGACCACCAGCAAACCAACAAAAAAATCCGCAACAGAAACTTTCAGGAGGACCAAGGCATAAAAGCAGATTCTGCTTATCAAACCCAGAGCAATTGCATTAAAATGTCTATGAATCTTTCTTTGGCATTTTCTTAATTATGGCTGTAGAGTCATTTTTGAGAGATGAATATGCCCCCCCTAATAAGCCCAGATTACACAGTGACAGGAGCAATTAGTCATCCATACAGTATTCCAGGAATTGTGTAGCATTTTATTCAGATAACTGGGCCCTGGACATTGCAAGTGGCTTCTGATTTACGTTTCACCACTTCTTTTCCACATTCTGAGCCAAGAGTGTCCCAGACGGCCAGGGGAGTGGGGCTGTGCAGGGAGGAGAAAAGGCTCCATGTGCCTGCGCAGCAGGGGGAAGGCGCTGCTGCCCATCTGTGAGTGAGGGAGTGGGACAGGCACAGGGAACTGGGTGCTGTGTCCGTGGTTCGGTCTGCACATGCCATAAGGGTGCAGCTCCTGTGCCTGCACAGGGTGCTTGGAGGAGGGTGAGGAGGGTGCCGCTCTGGGGAGTAAGAGCTCCAAGCTGGGGTTGGTTTGTACCCTCAAGGGTGTCGGATCCCTTGCTTTGTTTAAGTTTCTTGATAAATTTTAGCCATATGGGCCAAACTGAAAGTCCATGAGAGGAAAGGAAAGAAAAATTGAAAGCTTTTAGGGCAGGGTTTTTGTTTTTTCTGGCGGAGGATGGAGATGATGCATGAAAGCCGTAACACTCCTTCCAGCAACTTCCAAGGTCTGATAGCATTGAGGGGTACAAGGGTCAGTTAAAACGGGGCTAATTAGGACTAGGATTTTAATCCAGACGATAAGATATAGGTTATTCACGGGTTATAGGTTATAAGATATAGGTTATTCATTTTCTGCTTCTTTCCTTGTCAAGGTCTGGTATGACATGTATTTCCACTGCTCAGTACCTGAGGGGTTGCAACCCACAGTGGAGCAGAGGTCTTCTTGGTGGCAAATACAGGGGTCAATCCAGTCTTGCCCTTGATTTTTTTGTACAGATTATTTTTTAAAGGTTAACTTCAGAGGGTTACTTCCCTGTGCCACTGTCCACTCTGTGGGAGGAGGCTCCACTGGTCCCTTAACCCGGGATGCGTGTGACCACCCTTTTCTGCACTGCAGACTGCTGTCTCAGTTGTTAAGAGTACTTGGAAGGGACCTTCCCATGCCAGTGTTAAGGTTTCATCTTTCTGTGGGAAATGGGCAAAAAGAAGAAGAACAATACCGGAGATGGATCACAGTTTTGAAAGAATCGACAGAGGAAGAAGACCTTATTTAAGACCACGGACTTTACTTACAAACAAGGGACTTTATGAATTAAGTTAGAGTTTAACGTTAAAATAGGGTTGTCATGTTGTATTTCATAGTGTTTGTAAAGATTCTACCCTCTCTTATCCCTTTTTACTTGTTAATTCCCTTATAAGGTTCTTACTCCTCCCCTCTTGTCCATATACAATTGTAACCCCTCCCACGATCACCTATTTTATGCAAGCTCCTCCTCCTCTTATCTATTATATTCATAATGTTCCAGAAAGTTCTCCTCCTTCCCCTATATAAGGGGGAAGCCATCTTAATAAAGAGTTCACTCCTGTTCCACCTACAACCCTTTGAGTGAATTTCCCCATTTCCCTTAGCCGGGCTGTGTTACCTTTCCAAGATATTACTAGAACCCAATCTCCTGGCTTTACCTGATGTGTGTTAAAGTCCAGGGGTGAAGGTTTGGGGCAACAACCCTTTTCTTCTAAGCTTTGCAAGAGAGAATGCAATCGCCTGCAAGTAATTTTTGAGAGACAGGTAATTTGTTTCAGGAACTGGCAACCCTTCCTCCCTTCCCAGAGAAGGTAGGCCAAACAGCATTTCATAAGGAGTATCCTTCCTTGGAGCAGTTGTAATTCACAGTAGTGCTAAAGGCAAACATTTAGCCCTAGTTTCAATTATTAATGAATATCTAGTTTCAATTATTAATTTAGTAATACGGGTTTTAAGAGTATCATTCATCCTCTCAACACGTCCTGAACTTTGAGCATGCCAGGAAGTATGAAAACTCCAAGTGATGTCCAATGCAGCACACACAGCCTGTAAAATTTTTGAAGTGAAGTGAGTCCCTTTATCAGATCACTCTGTATCTGGGAATGATTTGTTCTAATTGAATTTTAGCCACATTTGAGGTTGTAGAGGTTGCAGTAGGAAAAGCCTCTACCCAGTGAGTAAGATGATCAGCTATAGCCAGGAGGTATTTCCATCTCTGCACCGTGGAGAATTCAGTATAATCTACCTGTATACTTTGAACAGGTGTAGCGGTTAGGTGCCGCGGTCCGGGGTTGGCGTTGCGACGACGACAGCAATAAAGGGCTCTTTACAAGGTGGAAGGTCTGAGGCTATTGCAAGTTTATTGAAGGAGGGTGCCTGCTTTTATAGGGTTCAGGGGGAAGGTACTGGAAAGATAGGTGGAGCATGGGATTGACAGGTGAGAGAACAAAACAGAGGACAAGCCAGTGAAGGTAGGAGGGAAAATGAAACAACCGGGGACCAATAACAAGTCACTCCACACTGCAGCAAATCCTAGCCAATCAGAGGGAGGAACAGGGGAACAAGGGGTGAACAAGTCTGAACATGTCTGGGCAATAGGAATGAATGGGGTACATCAGTGTATGCATGCATTAACAGTTTTATAAACATTCTAAAGTCCTTGAAGTCAACTCAGCAATGTCGTCTCAACTTCCATAAACTTCTCTCCACTTTTGGAACCTTTCCCACTCTGATTTCTCTTCCTCCGCTGTTAGATACGGTTCTTCCTCCACTAGGGGCTTTTCTCATCACTTTCTTATGTACCCTTGGGCAAACCAAACCTCGTTCAGTCACTTGTTTTGCTAGTGAACATACTCCTACCCAGCCATAGGTTCTTAGAAATGGGTCACGTAATGCTTGGGTTCCCCAGGGTGTTTCTTGGTGTAACTTAATTAATATTTCTCTAGTAATTGCTTTGTTCAGTATTTGCCTTCCGTCTGGTAAAAACCACCTGCCTTCCTGGGTTTTCACACCTCCCATTTTTTGTAAGAGTTCTTCTTCTTCCTTCATAAACAATGGAAGTTTTACATTCCCTGTTTTGCTGCTACGTATCAAGGCCAGCATTTTGGTTTCTTCCTCCCTTGCAGCCTCCTTAGCTAGTTTATCAGCCAAATGATTTTCCCTTATTTCCAGAGTCTCTCCTTTCTGATGTCCCATTACAGGGACTACAGAAACAGTCTCAGGTAGATCAAGAGCTTCCAAAACTTCCAGGACTACCTGCTCATGTACTGATTCCTTCCCTCTAGAGGAAATTAATGCCTGTTCCTTCCATATTTTCCCAAAAGCGTGTACTACTCCAAAAACACACTTAGAATCGGCAGAAATTGTTCCTCTCTCTCCTCTAAGTAACTCCAAGGCTCACTTTAATGCATATAATTCACATGTCTGGGCCGACCAGCTGTTGGGCTCCCCAGTGGCATAACCATTATGTCGCTTCCCATTTATACATCGGGACGACCTGTCACTACAAATTCTCTTTCCATCAACTAAGGGGGTTTCCTGTAAATCCTCTCTGACTCTAGTTTGGTATTCTAGAATGTCTAGTTTGGTATTCTAGAATGTCTAGACAGTCATGTTCAGGGATTTCTGATTCTGCCCTCCCACACAGGAACTGAGAGGGATTTACCTTCTTATCTCTAGCTAATACTAAGTTGTCCTTTTTCATTAAAATGGTCTCATATTTCAGGGCTCTTAAGTCTGTCAACCACCTCCCAGACTTCTGACTCAGACTGTTCTAATTGCACGTGGAGTGGACACAATTAAAGCACCTCCAAAAGTTAATTTTCTGCTTTCTTCCACTAGTAAGGCTGTAGCAGCTACTGCCTGGACACAGGTCAGCCATCCCCGCAATACCGGGTCTAACATTTTCAAAAGGTAAGCTATGGGTCTTTTCTGGCCTCCCCATATCCGAGTCAAGACTCCTTAAGCCATTCCTTCTTCCACATTGATATACAAGTGGAAGAGTTTCTCCAAGAAGGGGAGTGCCAGAACAGGTGCTTGGATCAGTTTCTCCTTTATATCCTCAAACTGTTGCTGCTGATCTCTAGTCCACTGAAGTTTTTCTCCCTCTTCTTGTAATTTTTCATATAGGAACTTAGCATGCTGGGTAAAGTTCTCCATCCATAATCGACAATATCCAAGCAAGCCGAAGAACTTTCTTGTTTCTCATTTGGTTCTAGGAAGGTGCATGGCAACAATGCCAGAAATGCATTCTGGGGTTATCCTCTTTCACCCTTCACTTGTTAAATGCCGGAGATATTTTACTTCTTTTTCCACAAACTGTAATTTAGTGTTAGAGACCCTTAGTCCTTTCCCTCCCAGGAAGTTTAATGACCGGACAGTGGCATCGCAAACTTCTTCTTTTCCCTCCCCTGATACCAGTAAATCATCTACATATTTTAGTAACCTAACCCCTGGGGGTGTTCTGAATTCCTCAAGAACTTTTTCTAGGATTTGTCCAAACAATCTGGAGACTCTGTAAACCCCTGGCGTAAGGAAGTCCAGCTGCTTCCTTCCTGCTGCTTCCTTCCTGTGATAGGATTTTCTTCTCAAAAGCAAATATATCCCTACTGTTCTCTGCTAAAAGACAGGCCCAGAAGGCATCTTTAAGGTCCACTACACTAAACACACATGATTGTGGGGGATTTTACTCAATAGGGTATAAGGATTTGGGACAGCTAGATGACATACCTGGATGAGCTTATTCAAGTCTCTTAAATCTTGAAGTAATCTGTAAGTCTCATCTGACTTTCTGATTGGTAAAATAGGAGTATTGTAGGGAGACATGCAAGGTTCCAACAACTCATCTCTCAAGAATCTTTCGATTGCCAGTTGTAACCATCATAGCTGAAGCTACTTTTTTTCTGGTCCTTTCTTTTCTTGAATACTTAAGCTGCCACTTGCTGACATTCCCTCTCACCCCAGCCCCCTTTCTGCCTCCGGAAGGCTTTGAACAGAAAGGCCACTGGAAGTTCAGCTCTGCACATGCTGAACTGGCAGAAACGTGTCCCGCGTGTCACTCTTGGCACAGGTGAAGACAAAGCTTTGGAGTGGTCTGGGTCCCAAGGGATGCACTCACAGCATAGGGTCCCGGTTGTGAGAGGCCCGATCCCCAGCGGAGCACTCCCGAGTGGGGTCCAGGGGGCTCTCCCGAGCCAGGGACAGCCCGGGCGAGCAGAGACGCGGGCCCGGGCACACCCTGAGTGAGTCGCTGCCGGCGCAAAGGGACACCAGGGACCATTGACACCCTCATCTGATGGGAGCTTGCTGTGCTTTATTGGCAGAGCCAGGCCCGCGTCAGGGCCGCGCTCTGGTTGCTCTGGCTCTGTAAGGCCGAGGCCCTGAGCTCGGCTCAGCGGCGTCTGCGCCTCCTGCCGCCCCGGCGGCGCCGGCGGTATCTCGAGCGGCGGGATCCAGCCCGCCGCCTCCTCCGCGCACCCCGACGGCGGGAGCGGCGGCGGCTCCGGCTGCGGCTCCTGCGGGAACGCCGGCGGTAGCGGGCCATGGTGGTTCTGGCTGAGGGCTGGGGGCGGCTGCCCGGCTTTTATAGGAGAGCCGCGCAAGAGCCCTTTGTGACACCAGCACTTATTAGAGCCAACATCACCAGCGAGGTCATAATGAGGGCCACACCCAGACCCTGCAGAATCCATGGCACCTGAATCCAGAGGATAATTCTTTCAGTCTGAAGGAACATTTCTTTAAAGACATTCAGAAGGTTGGCCTGCTTACAGTGAAATAGATGGAGTTTGGAGATAATACTTTCTAGGTAAGTTCAGGCTGTAGGACTGGGATCAGGCACATTGCAGATGGCTGGTGCTGGGTGCATTCTGAGAGGATGCTGATTTTCTCTAAGGATGACCCAGCATTTCACATTACAAGCCAGAAACATCTATTTGTCCTAGTTCTTTCTTTAGAGGGAAGAGAGACCTTCATTTCCCTGAAGTTTTCCGAAATGGCTCTTGTCCCTCCCCTACAGGGATTCTGCAGGGTCTGGGTGTGGCCCTCATTATGACCTCGCTGGTGATGTTGGCTCTAATAAGTGCTGGTGTCACAAAGGGCTCTTGCGCGGCTCTCCTATAAAAGCCGGGCAGCCGCCCCCAGCCCTCAGCCAGAACCACCATGGCCCGCTACCGCCGGCGCTCCCGCAGGAGCCGCAGCCGGAGCCGCAGCCGCCGCCGCTCCCGCCGTCGGGGTGCGCGGAGGAGGCGGCGGGCTGGATCCCGCCGCTCGAGATACCGCCGGCGCCGCCGGGGCGGCAGGAGGCGCAGACGCCGCTGAGCCGAGCTCAGGGCCTCGGCCTTACAGAGCCAGAGCAACCAGAGCGCGGCCCTGACGCGGGCCTGGCTCTGCCAATAAAGCACAGCAAGCTCCATCAGATGAGGGTGTCAATGGTCCCTGGTGTCCCTTTGCGCCGGCAGCGACTCACTCAGGGTGTGCCCGGGCCCGCGTCTCTGCTCGCCCGGGCTGTCCCTGGCTCGGGAGAGCCCCCTGGACCCCACTCGGGAGTGCTCCGCTGGGGATCGGGCCTCTCACAACCGGGACCCTATGCTGTGCGTGCATCCCTTGGGACCCAGACCACTCCAAAGCTTTGTCTTCACCTGTGCCAAGAGTGACACGCGGGACACGTTTCTGCCAGTTCAGCATGTGCAGAGCTGAACTTCCAGTGGCCTTTCTGTTCAAAGCCTTCCGGAGGCAGAAAGGGGGCTGGGGTGAGAGGGAATGTCAGCAAGTGGCAGCTTAAGTATTCAAGAAAAGAAAGGACCAGAAAAAAAGTAGCTTCAGCTATGATGGTTACAACTGGCAATCGAAAGATTCTTGAGAGATGAGTTGTTGGAACCTTGCATGTCTCCCTACAATACTCCTATTTTACCAATCAGAAAGTCAGATGAGACTTACAGATTACTTCAAGATTTAAGAGACTTGAATAAGCTCATCCAGGTATGTCATCTAGCTGTCCCAAATCCTTATACCCTATTGAGTAAAATCCCCCACAATCATGTGTGTTTAGTGTAGTGGACCTTAAAGATGCCTTCTGGGCCTGTCTTTTAGCAGAGAACAGTAGGGATATATTTGCTTTTGAGAAGAAAATCCTATCACAGGAAGGAAGCAGCAGGAAGGAAGCAGCTGGACTTCCTTACGCCAGGGGTTTACAGAGTCTCCAGATTGTTTGGACAAATCCTAGAAAAAGTTCTTGAGGAATTCAGAACACCCCCAGGGGTTAGGTTACTAAAATATGTAGATGATTTACTGGTATCAGGGGAGGGAAAAGAAGAAGTTTGCGATGCCACTGTCCGGTCATTAAACTTCCTGGGAGGGAAAGGACTAAGGGTCTCTAACACTAAATTACAGTTTGTGGAAAAAGAAGTAAAATATCTCCGGCATTTAACAAGTGAAGGGTGAAAGAGGATAACCCCAGAATGCATTTCTGGCATTGTTGCCATGCACCTTCCTAGAACCAAATGAGAAACAAGAAAGTTCTTCGGCTTGCTTGGATATTGTCGATTATGGATGGAGAACTTTACCCAGCATGCTAAGTTCCTATATGAAAAATTACAAGAAGAGGGAGAAAAACTTCAGTGGACTAGAGATCAGCAGCAACAGTTTGAGGATATAAAGGAGAAACTGATCCAAGCACCTGTTCTGGCACTCCCCTTCTTGGAGAAACTCTTCCACTTGTATATCAATGTGGAAGAAGGAATGGCTTACGGAGTCTTGACTCGGATATGGGGAGGCCAGAAAAGACCCATAGCTTACCTTTTGAAAATGTTAGACCCGTGTCTCAGTCTGAAGAGACTGGACTGCTTGCTAAAGAGGATGAGTTGTGAGGTAGACCAAACTCCTCTCTCTCTGCAATTGTAATGTCAATTTAAGGGGCTTTACTCGAGGAAAATGTGGAAAAAAACAGGAGAAATAACAACCCTTTATTAAGAAATATATAAATGTTGGTACAAAAGAGAAAGAAAAAAAGAAAAAAAAAAGAAGAAAAAAAAAAAGTAACACAAAACACAACAACACCAGCAACAACAACCACAACAACAAGTCTAAAAGAATACTCCTCTGTCCTTTAACACGGTCCTAATTGCGGTCGGCAGGGGGCGCTGTTGGGCCGCTGAAGCTGTAGGACCTGCAGTACCCGGTTGTGGTCGGCAGGGGGCGCTGTTGGGCCGCTGGAAGGTGCAGGACCTGCAGTACCCGGTTGTGGTCGGCAGGGGGCGCTGTTGGGCCGCTGGAAGGTGCAGGACCTGCAGTACCCGGTCGTGGTCGGCAGGGGCGCTGTGGGCTCCGGCAGTCACCCGCGGGAAAAAGGGGACCGGAGGGGTGGTCCCGGGCCGCGTGGGGGAAGCCGAGGAGATGGGGGGTCCTCGTCTCCGTGGGGACAAATAGGAAGGCAGGCCGCCCACTCCCACGGGAACTCACCGCTGTCTCGAGTGGCAAGAACTCACTGCAGTCTCAAGCGGTGGTGTCTCCAAAACTCCTCTCCCGCGGGCAAGCAAAACTCTCCGATGAAACACAGCAGCTCCGGCGGGCGGGACAGTCAGGCAGGTCAAAGCCGACAGGACAAGAGGTCGAACTCCCCAGGATTAACAGCCAAAAGGGAACTAAACCTCCAGTCCCCCTCCCCAACAAACTGCCTGTCTGCACCCAGCGAGACAGCCACACACCACCCCTCTCACCTTCCCGGCCAGGGCTCCCCCTGCTCCGCTTCCCCGCCCAGCCTTTTCTTTCTCCTAAGTGGGCAATCAACCCAGGCTAGCTACATCTTTAGTAATGCTAATAACCTCCCTTCCCCCCGCTCACTGTTTCTTTACCTTGGAGTGGGGCAGGGGGAAGGAAAATTCCCCTGATTTCCTAATCTACAACATTATCCACCCCTAATTTTTCTTCCCCATGCTGCCACACTTCACCAGGTTAAATCTTCGATCCTTATACGTACATGCAGTATTCCAACTGTATACACGTCCACTAATAGGTAGATACACATACAGATACAGGTGCAGGGTTACATACAGATACAAGTATACAGTTACAGCCAACTCACCCCAGAGTAAGGTTTCCCTGAGGTATGCACCGAGTTTCTCCATCTTCCTGCATCACCCACCAGGTGCAGCCGGGCCCTTGGGCAAAAACAATCCCACGAATGGGTTTGTCTTTGCTCGAGGTAGGGTCAACCCAAACCTTTTTCCCTAACACACCCCTCGCGTGAATCACGGGGACCTTATCTCCATCCACGTGTGGAGGGACTCTGACTGGGCAGGACCGGCTCGGTTGATGGAACCTCTGGTGTTAACTAGCCATGTAGCCTTTGCTAGATGCTGGTCCCAGTTCTTGTCTGTCCCTCCACCCAACGCCTTCAGGGTGGTTTTCAACAGTCCATTATGTCGTTCAACTTTCCCTGCGGCTGCTGCGTGGTATGGGATGTGGTACACCCACTTGATGCCATGTTCCCCTGCCCAGGTGGCAACTAAGCTGTTTTTGAAATGAGTTCCATTATCTGATTCAATGCGCTCTGGGGTACCATGTCGCCACAGGACTTGCTTTTCGAGGCCCAGGATGGTATTCCGGGCAGTAGCGTGAGGCATCGGATACGTCTCCAGCCATCCAGTGGTGGCTTCCACCATAGTAAGCACATAGCGCTTACCTTGGCGGGTTCGTGGCAGTGTGATGTAATCGACTTGCCAGGCCTCCCCATACCTGTACTTACTCCAACGTCCACCATACCATAGGGGCTTGAGTCTCTTAGCCTGTTTAATGGCAGCGCAGGTCTCACAGTCATGAATAACCTGGGAAATAATGTCCTTGGTTAAGTCCACCCCTCGGTCTCGTGCCCATCTATGGGTGGCATCTCTGCCCTGATGGCCTGAGGCATCATGGGCCCACCGTGCTAGGAACAACTCTCCTTTGTGCTGCCAGTCTAAGTCCACCTGTGACACCTTGACTCGTGCAGCTCGGTCTGCTTGTTCATTGTTGCGATGCTCCTCATTGGCTCGGCCTTTGCGCACATGGGCGTCTACGTGGCGGACCCTCACAGTGAGCTTCTCTGTTCGGGTAGCGATGTCTTGCCACATATCAGCAGCCCAGATGTGTTTTCCCCCGCGTTTCCAATTGGCCTTCTTCCATCTGTCCAACCATCCCCACAGAGCATTGGCTACCATCCACGAGTCAGTGTAGATGTAAAGCTTTGGCCACTTCTCCCGTTCAGCAATGTCCAATGCCAGCTGGACAGCTTTGAGCTCTGCGAATTGACTCGATTCTCCTTCCCCTTCAGTAGCTTCTGAAACTTGTCGGGTGGGACTCCATACAGCTGCTTTCCATTTGCGCTTCGTTCCTACAAGGCGACAGGAACCGTCAGTGAAGAGGGCGTAGTGTGCTTCTTCTTTCGGTAGTTTATCGAATTCTGGAGCTTCTTCAGCCCGTACCGCCTGCTCTTCTGCTTCCTCATCTGCTAGACCAAAACTCTCGCCTTCCGGCCAATTTGTGATGACTTCTAGGATCCCAGGGCGATTCAGATTTCCAATATGGGCGCGCTGTGTGAGCAGAGCGATCCACTTACTCCATGTGGCATCAGTGGCATGATGCGTGGTGGGTGCCTTTCCCTTAAACATCCAGTTCAGCACTGGTAGTCGAGGTGCCAAGAGCAGCTGTTCTTCTGTGCCAATCACCTCAGAGGCAGCTTGTACTCCTTCATAAGCCGCTAGGATCTCCTTCTCTGTTGGGGTGCAATTGGCTTCAGACCCTCTGTAGCTTCGGCTCCAGAACCCAAGTGGGCGGCCTCGAGTCTCACCAGGCACCTTTTGCCAGAGGCTCCAGGAGAGACCTCTATTCCCAGCTGCAGAATAGAGTACATTTTTCACATCTGTCCCTGTCCTGACTGGCCCAAGGGCTACAGCATGTGCAATCTCTCGTTTAATCTGTTCGAATGCCTGTTGCTGTTCAGGGCCCCACTGGAAATCATTCTTTTTTCGGGTAACTAGATAGAGAGGGCTTACGATTTGACTGTACTCCGGGATATGCATCCTCCAGAAACCTATGGCACCCAGAAAAGCTTGTGTTTCCTTCTTGCTGGTTGGTGGGGCCATGGCTGTGATCTTATCGATGACTTCTGTCGGGATCTGACGACGCCCATCTTGCCATTTCACCCCCAGGAACTGGATTTCTCAGGTAGGTCCCTTAACTTTACTCTTCTTTATGGCGAAACCAGCTCCCAGGAGGATCTGGATGATTTTCTTCCCTTTCTTGGAAACCTCCTCTGCTGTGTCCCCCCATATGATGATGTCATCAATGTATTGCAGGTGTTCTGGAGCCTCACCCTTCTCTAATGTGGCCTGGATCAGTCCATGGCAGATGGTGGGGCTGTGTTTTCACCCCTGGGG